TTAATTCTTTTTTTGCTTATGCTTTGTTGATACCTAAAAGAGGCGAATGATTGTTGTAGATGTGATCAAAATGTCTTATCTGGGGTGGGGGTGAGTGCTTCTATTAGCTAATATTAATATATGTCCTAAACCTAAAAACTTTCTTAACAAAAGATCTGCATAAAATTTAGCCAATCATTTTTCTTCTAATAAAATAACATGACAGTTGATCATTATCCAAATCGGGAATAATCCTGACTGTCCATCATTATTAATATTTATTAAGTCAAGACAATTATTACCAAACTAGGATTTTAGCCCTTTATGTGACCAGCCCTGATAATAATATCAAATTATAGTATATATAACATTCAATAGAGTTTTCCCAGCCCTGTTTATATTATCCATAATTCTGAACATTCTGGAAAGCTGATAGAATATACAATTCTAATTAGAAAAGGAATATGAGATTCAATTTATAAATGTTTCTAATAAGTTTTGACTTGAAAAACTATTTTCTAATACACAAATTATACTAATTTTTCTTTCTTCATCTTCTTTATCATCGCCATTTTCATCTTCTCTATCTTTTTATTCTTCTCCTTATTAATCCATTGCTGGATTACTTTTATCGTTTTCTGGCACAAGCTTTTTTATCGCGAAAGCAGTGGTACCTTTTCTCTCTTCAGGTAATTCACGAATCCAATGGTTATTTTGGTAAAGGAAAACCAAAGTTTCGTTTCTGAATCTCTGATATACACATATCTCCCTTAAAATAACCTAATTCATATGATCTCAAATAACATTTATTTTTAAAAGAAATTAATAGAACTAATAGGACAGAAATTATCAGATGAATTCACAGAAGCATACGTTGAAAAGATTTCGACGATGATTGAATCATTTATTCTATTCACGCAATATGAATTCTTTTTGTATCGAGTACTTTAGAGAATTGCTACAATGTTTAATATTCGAATGTGTCATATTGTAGGGGGTCGAGTCCCACCTCTACCCGTGCTTTGGGTATTAATATCAGGACCTACATTGGGTGGATTAATTATTAAGGTATTTATTTTCCTTTGCTAATAAAATTATATTGTATTTGATTTTTCTCATGTTTTAAATATTAATGATCTTTTTAGAAAACAGGATCGGTGCTTTCGATCTTTTACATAGCAATGTTTGCCCAATCAATTTTTTTATTATTTGTTATATTTATTCTGCCT